GTCTTCTGACCCAAATGCCGGTACATCCCAACCACCTCTTTTCAAAGCTCCCCTTAAGGACACATCCTGAACACCTTCAAAGAGACCTAAAATAGCACTTGGCCTACTTTAGATGCTGTGGTGTCTGCAGTTACCAAACCCAGGGGCTTCATGGTCCATTGTGTGGGTGACAGCCTTGTTCTCATGCTCTAGAGCAAAACCAGACCAGTACTGATTGCAAAAGTTGAAACCATGAGGTCTCCACTCTCTGTGGTTTTAATTATTTGGCTATTTTGCAGTTATATTTGGGAAGTACAAGATACTTGGGAAAGTATTTAAAAGGTCATGGGAAGAATTAATCAAATAGTTTTCTTTCCAATAGTGGAATCCATACAGCTGAAAAGGATTCTGAGATAAGCATATACTTCACTTGGCATCCTATAGGGGGAAACCCTCCAGCCTTCCTGTTTCTTTGCCTGCCCAGAGGAAGGACTTGGTGGAATTATGTAGCCTCCAGTAACCCTGAGCTGGAAAGTATACAAAAACAGCAGCTTATTATCATCATTTCATTCACATAAAAGATGTTCTCAGGTGTTTTTGTTGTTGTTGTTGTTGTTGTTGTTGTTTAATGCTCCACTACTCTTTGCAAGGAACAGACATAAGTATAGTCCAGATAGTGATGGTCGAATATATTTGTCTCCAAGACTGGGTAATTATACCTCAAGCATGGAAGTCAGTGGTCATTTGAATATTTAAATAATATCTGAGTTGCAGATGGAAATACATAAAGAGCAGTGAGAGATCTGAAAAAGGACTAAAAAACTTCTTCTTTCAAATGCAGTAAGAAAAGTTGGGGCTCTACATGGAAGTAGAAATTAAGATCTACAAAATTTGTTGCAATACTGGGAACCTACAGAAGGAAACGTCTCTCTCTCCCTCTCTCTCTCTCTCTCTCTCTCTCTCTCTCTCTCTCACACACACACACACACACACACATACACATACACACACAAACACATTTTGTGTCACACATTAAAGATCATGAAGTTAATTCCATAGGGCAAAGTTAAATTTTGACTTTAAAATTTTAGAATCTAACCTAGGACCCAGTCTGTTGACTAGGCAATTAGGTAATGAATGGGAAACACAGTGACAATCCTAAGTAGAGAAAACTAATTATAACTACCATGATAATAATTATCTTGAAATACACTCAAACACTTTGCAGAGATGATCTAATTATTCCCCCTGCACAGCCCTCATGGAAAAGGTGTTATTACTTCCATCTTGAAGATAAATATAATATCTAATTTCAATTCATAAGTGTCATTTCTCCTGAGAAGTTTCTTTATTTGTTTTCTTATTCATCTTCACAATATGAGGCTTCGACACCCCAAATTAAGTAATTTTGTAGAGTTAGAGGCAGAATAATTTGTATTTGTATGACTGATTGATTAAAATGCAGTGACTTCCAAACTTTTAATCATATAACTTATGAAATTATAAAATGTTCACCTGGCAATGGCAGCTTTTACCATGAGTGGGTTCTACCTGGAGTGAAAGTGGAAAGTAAAAGGGAAATGGGGGAAAGGAAAAGGGAAGAAATGAATCATGTAATGAGCACAGAACTGAGCAGCTGTTCCTCATCAAAATGAGGTGACGTGGGAGTCATCCACGGGCAATTGTACCTTGCTAGGGCCGCCATAACAAAATGCCGCACATGGAGACCTTGAATAACAGAACTCTATTTTCTTACGGTCTGGAGTGCAGCAGCCTAAGATCAGGGTGTTCGTAGAATTGGTTTCCCTGTGAGAAGAAAGGGCTGACTCCTCACCCCCCTCAGCTCACAGGTCTCTCCTCTAGGCAAACATCCCTGGTCTCATCCTGGGCCCCAGTTTCCTCTCCTTACAAGGATACCAGTCAGATTGAATTCCTCCATTCCCACCCCGTCATTTTCACATAACCCTTTCCTTAAAGTTCCTATTTCTGAATTTGGAGGAGACACAATTCAGCCCCAAACATGGATTTTTATTTAAATCATTTTTCTTTCAAACAGAAGACACATATAAAATATGCAGTAACACTATAGGAAGCATGAGCACTATAGGAAGTGGCTGTTAAACAGGTACGTTAAAAATTTTTAATTTATTTGAGCAAACATGAATTCAGTTTGGGCAGCACCCAACCAAAAGTGGTTAGGAGCACTGCTGATAAGAGCTAAGGAAAAGACTTTTATATACTAGACACGGAAGAAGAGCAAGGAAATGATCCGAGTTGCTCCGGCTTAAGCAGATACCGTTTTGGGGAAAGTTTAGGCAGCTGAGCTTGGCTGCTCTTAAATGTTGTTTTCTAGGGACAGGTGTGTTTTCAGGAATTAACAGTGGTTTACTGACAGTGGCTTATGCCTCCCAAGGCATCGGGGCCCTCAGTAAATGGCTCCTCATCTAATTGTGCTGATCTGGTCAGCAGTACTTTTCACTCTAGTGAGTCCAGCCTGTTCGGTCAGCTGACCTAATTCATGTTCCACACTTAGTCCCCAAAGGTGATTCCATTCATCTTTTAGGAACTTCCTCTCAGCAGGTAGTCAGCGATTTTCTGTTGCCCGAGAGATGAGGCAGCTTTATTCACAGATTCCCAAAATTTGTCTATGTAGGAATTCTGACCATGTATTCACTGGAGTGTGCCTTTGCCTCTTTTTGCTTCCTATAAAATGATAGGTGAAAAATCCAGACATCCCTCTTTTTCTGTTTCATGAGAGGCACTTATCCCCCAGAGCTCCTCTCATTGAAGTGGGTTTTCCCAATTGCCAGCTGCAGCAGATAGCCTTGCCGCAGAATGTCTCAGGAAGGGCACAGGCATTTGCCTTGTGCTGGCAACATCAAGTTACACTGTCAACTGGAAAGCTTGCTAACCTTACCTGCTATCAGCTGTCTTAGGTAAAGGAAAGCAGACCTCTGGTGACAAGGTTGGGGAGCTGGGTTTGGTGAGAAAAGTCCTTAAGAAGTTTTTTCTACAAAACACATGGATGTGTGTTTAACAACTTGTAAATAAGAAGCACAATTTCAAAAAGAATTGGCATTCAATATCTCAGTTTTAAAATATGTGAGTGCAGGGCCTCCTGGGGCCTCGGGTTTAAGTTTCAGCACTATCGCTGTGATGGCCTAAGTTGGACCCCCAGCCAAGGAGCTGACCCACATGGCACAACAGACCTCTCCTCTTGCCCGCTGCTCCCCTCAGCAGTGTATTTCAATGGATCTGCCTGTTCTGCTCCCCAATCTGTCTCTGTGGAATCCTCTCACCCCCGCACCTCTGGCCTGCACCCCAATTCTATATACACACAAAAATGTGAGCAGGAATTATTATCATGTTTGTAGGGTAAATGAAGATGATCAGGCTTTTACACCATTGGCCTCTATGATCGTCACCTGCAGCTTTGACCTTGTTAACGTAGAAGGCGCTGGGTATGGGGGCAGGTGCCTGATTATAGATACCTGTGCATGGGTGTGTGCGCATGTGCAAGTGTGCACACCTGTGCCTAAGAGGGCAGGGCTATAAGGGCAGCATCACAAGCGGAGAAGACCACGGGAGGACGCCAGAGAAAGTTCAAGGTTTAGCTGGGAGGTGGGAGACTTGTCGGCCCCCATGGCCCCCTGCCTCTCCTGCGCTGGTTGCCTCACAATAATTGGCATGAAAAAGAGCAGTATAAACCTGAAAACCCACCAAGGGCTCCAGGACCCTCCTCTCTCCATCTGTCTGAATCGCAGAGACCTGCCCTGTGCTTGCTGACGCTATGTTACAAAGTCTCTGTTTTAGAAAACAGTGGTTGTCTGGTTCGTTTAAATAGTAAGTTTGTGCATTTCTTTGTGCTTTGATAGTCTGATATAACTTTAAAAATTGTGATATATGTGCAATTTATTATATGTGCAATTTAATATTACGGGATTAACTAGTTACTTGAAGCTAGTGGAGATTCATAATGGTATTCATCCACACCAGCATTCCACCAGCTTGTTCCACATGCTGGAGATGGGACTAAATACTAGGGACACAATAAAGGAACAAATTCCTCCCTTTGAAGGGCTCGTAGGCAATTGAGGAAGAGGAGAGAGAACAGCAGAACCTTGAGACTGAGTCTCAAATTACCGCAGGCCCGTTCCACACACAGACTGCTGCACCCCGCCACCCACTCTGTTAGTGTGATTCAGTGGGACCAGGAACCTGCACTTCTAACAACTTCCCTGGTAATGCTGGTGCTGCTGGTTCAAGGACCGCAGTTTGAGAACCCCTAATCTGAGGTTATGGACACCCTCGGGAGGGGTTCCCGACACTGAATGGAAGGCACGGTGGGGAGGGGTCACTGAAGGCTTAACAGAGAAGGTGAGTGGGGTAGACTAAGTGGGGCAGACATGCCAAGTACATTTTGTTCTGAAGGACAAAATAGGAGACAGTATGTATGTCTTTTGTTGTTGTTTTCAAATGTAAGTAATTCCACTTGTCTAGGATGAAGTTTGAGTTTGCAATAGCTGAAAGAGATGATGCTGGAGAAATGTGTGGGGTGCAGAGCCATGACTATAGGCCCTGTTTGATTTATGGAGAATCTTGTGGCTGATTTTATCACCAACAATCCCCCAAAGTTGGCCTTCAAACTGGAAGAAAAGCAACTTGGTAGAGGAACCCTGTCATGGTTACCTTTCTTCAAGGGGGTTGCCTTTTTGAGACTAGCACAGGACTTCCAAATGCAGCCATTTGGAAGAAACCAATTTCAACTCTCTGAACTGACGTATCTCACTGGTGTAATAAAATTGTGACCTGGTGGGTGTTAGTTTGTGCCGTTGACCCATGAGCCAGGGACTATGCCGATGCCCTTAATTGCGACTGGCTTTGGAAGACACTCGGCTCCCCCACCTCTGAGGGCCTTTAGGGCACTCGAAGCGGGAAGATGGAAGGCCTAGGGAGGCGGGGTTGAGAGCAGGAAGCCCCACTGCAAGGTTGTGATGAACGTGCTCTACTTTTTCCTCTAGGGGAAGATGATGACGACGACGAATGTGGAGAGGAGAAACTGCCCTCCTGTTTCGATTACGTGATGCACTTTCTGACTGTGTTCTGGAAGGTGCTCTTTGCCTTCGTGCCCCCTACAGAATACTGGAATGGCTGGGCGTGCTTCATTGTCTCCATCCTCATGATCGGCTTGCTGACGGCTTTCATCGGAGACCTGGCTTCCCACTTCGGCTGCACCATTGGCTTGAAAGATTCTGTGACTGCAGTGGTATTCGTCGCTCTTGGGACTTCAGTGCCAGGTAGGGAATATATTCCTCTATGGCTACTCAGAAGCTGAAGCTCACTTGCCTTCCTGACCTTTTCTTTCCGATAATGTCATGAGTGGTTAAAACAAAATAGGTCTATAAAGATGAGAACCCAGAGAGATAAGTAATGTCACTTCCAGAACATTGTCATGGCACTTCTTGAGATTCAAAAGCTGTTCAGTCTCCTCATGATGACAGAAAGGAATTTTCAGGGGGGCTGCAAGGCCCACATGAAGGGAACAGTTGCTGGATGGATAGACCCGCTACCCATTACAATTACCATTTGCAGAATCCCCAAACAAGTTATAGAACTCTTTCTGAGGAAATTTTCTGTCCTTTGAATAGTGAAATTTGAATGATTTCCATGAAACTTGATTTTTGGCAGGTAACTGATAAATGCAGAAAAATGGGCACAGTATTCTGTGTGAGGATAATTAAAAGGAAGTAGACATTCACCAGGACAGGAAAAGTTATCTTTTTCCAAAATAACCATTTCATGGACAGCCCTTTGTGTGTCCCTCATGAGCTGACTTTTTCTTCCAGCCTGCAACTGTACCTCATTATGTTTGCTCAGACTTCTGAGTAAGACATCATGCTCCCGAACATAACATTGGCAGCAGTAATTTCAAACTGGAGTAGGCGTCAAAGTTAGCCAGAAGCTTGTTTTCAAATGGAAATGCCTGACCCCACCACTGGTCTGTGGAATTGGATGTAGAGGAAGGACCCAGAAACACGTATTTTAAGCTCATCAGACTTTATTGTGATTGACATTCTTGGTCCTACCTCCCATGACATCTTAACAAATGCATAACCTTGTTTGAGTGCTGTACTCAGCCAAGTTCAGGTCAAGGACTAGGATTCCAGTAGGCGTGGCAACAGGCAGGCTGCAGGGGAACCACTGTCCTGCTGCAGGGCCTCTCATTCTCCACAGCTTTGACCCTCATGCTGAGACTCAGCTAAGAGGCATGATTATAGTAACTCTGGCTTTCGGTTTTGAGTCTAAAAACTAAAGTTCAGTTCTTGTATGTCTCTTCAATGGGATTCACTGGTTGTTCTTTGCTACTCAGTTACTTAGCTAGTGGCTGTAATAAGCTATTTAACCTCTCTTCATATATAAAATAAGGTTAACCATACGGAACTTGCAGAACTATGGTAAGGAATGATGAAAACACCTATAAATTATGTATCTAGCAAAACATCTCCAACACAGAAGCAATGCATCGGGGGAGCAACTTTTGTGATTCTTACTTCTGCAGAGTACCTGAGGGTGGTCTGGTCATATAATACTGGCTGCTTCATCCTTGAGTGACCAGGGAGGAAGTAGATTTAGAGGTGTCCACCATAGCATGTGGTAGTGTCCATCTAACTGATCATTTTGGACGCATGATTAAGAGGTCTGGCATAGTTTTGGTGTGCAGCTGAGTTCATGGAGGATCCAAGGGGCTTAAGGAGTACTCTTAATCCCCACGGCACAGCAGAACTGAGCAGTCTTCTAGTTGAAGGCTGAGCCTTGGCATTCGGGCTCCCTCCCAACCCCAGCTGTGTTTGAGTGGTTCCACATTTGGTCTTCATTTTGAATTTTTTTAAAAATAAAACTGACCAGAAATGTACCAAGCATGAGGAAAAGCTCCACATACTCACATTTTAAATTGCTTTGTTTAGAGAATACATGTACCACCAAAGGAACTAAGTACCAGGGTTTTCCATTGCTCTGTCAGAGGCTGTTACAGAAAGTACATACGGGGACCATGTCCCCTACAGCTTAAGTCACTGTATCAGTGGTGCCCAAGTCAGCACACACTCTGGACATGACTTTCACCCTTGAGGAGAAATGTACACATGGTGATGTTGAAGGCAAAAGCCTCTCGTGGCAGCGAAGCAAAATCGGTCTACTCTCTGCAAAGTCAGCAATAACAAATGCATCTCTTGCTTTCAACAGAATTTTTAAAAGTGCTTTTTCTACCTCAAATCTCTGTTCCTGAAAATATTGTTTTCTAATTTCTCAACCTTTCAGCATCTTGAAAGTGGCTCTTTTTCTATATAGCTATCTTCCAAAGTGGTTCTGAGCATCTTATCAGTAAACTCTTGAAAAATATGGCAGCTGTATGGTTAACAAATTTTTCTGTAACATGAAATGTGCATATAGTAAACCTTAGTGTTAGAGAAATCATTTGTTCTACTACTTTTAAAACCAGCTCAGAACCGTGGCAGGGGTATCAAGAGGCAAGAGAATCTGCTGGGGAGAATATACCAGAACCATTAGTCGTCAGAATAGTTTCCCTACACCGCCATAAATTCTTCCCATTGGGAAACAGATCTCTTCGCTCTGTTATTGGGAGACTCCCTATAATTTGCTGTAATAACTGCCGCATGCTCCCTAAGCAGTACCTCCACGGGTAGTCTCAGACAGTCCTATGCATACAAACACTCCCCCCCAAAGTGCTGTGCAGTGGAACAAGATGTTGAATAAACATAATATTTCTGACTTTATTCTTTACTCATTAACCCTGCTGAGTCATAGCAGTGCTTTATCAGAATGCTTCACTCCTCCAAAAAAAAAAGGCTGTTATTCCCACAAGAGAAATCTCAGTAGTTATGGGCAGAAGAAAAAAAAAGGAAATGACCTCTTCTTCACTGCTAGGCTCCCACCAGCTGCTCTTTGCTTTAGGCTGATGCTGTGACACTTCCCCTAATGCAGAAGGCTGAGAGCTGCCACCCCTTTCTAGGTGAGACTTCAATTCCATGCTTGTGATGGCCGTGGGCATTGAACATTTTCCCCACTAGTCCTCCTGCCTTGAGGATAAATGTCTATATGTCTCATTAACGGGCCGGGCCTCCTGAGCTGTGTAAGAATCTGCCTGCTCTCCAGCCCCGCTCCAGATGGCTGCCCTTCCTTGGGCCTCCACCTCAGCCTCTGTGGCCTGGCCATCCACTCGCTTGCAGTCCCCCAATATTCCTTCAGCCTCAACTTTCCCCTGGGTTCTAGATTCATGTCCCAACTGCCTTCTCTACAGTGATGCTGGATGTGTCATTGAGGTCAAAATTACCAAGTCCAAAACAGAACTGTTGATTTCCACTGCCTGACTGCCTTATCCGTCAACCAAACCGTCTCCCGGATGTCACCTTTCTCAGGAAACCAGTCTCACCTCTGAACACTGGCATTTCAACCCAGCACAGGTCGAAGAGGAAGTGCCATCTCTGCTGTGTATATACATATTTAATTGGATGATTAACATTTCACACTCAGCTTAAATGGAAATGAAAACAAAATTATATTACTCCAAGTCAAGAGTTCCCAGCGGTTATGGTGTTAGTTGCCCCAAGAGGATCCTCAGTGGAACTCAGATATTCTAATAAGCATTCAGTTTCTTTTACACCAAGAAATGTGAAAACAGTTAACAATGGGCCCTCTGATCCATAATCAGGCCAAGAGGCAGAGCCACACAGCTACGGCCAAAGGGCCAGGGAGCCCCCCCATTCCACCCTACCCTCACCCCAGTGAGGAGCCGTCTGGAGCTAGAAGGCTCTGTACTTTGCAGGCCACTTTCCCACGAACAGGTGATGTTATTAAAGTTAGAGGAAGCCTAAAAATTGACAAGGACAGAGAGAAACCAAGGGAGATTAGACACCAGATTTCATAAGGTTTTCTCCCTAAATGGCACAAGATCTGCCTGTTATCCTGAACTAAAAACATAGACCATCGGCAGCAGGCCCAAAGCACTTTGTCAAAACAGGCAATGTTCCTCTTTAAAACTTTTTTGCATTCTTTCTGCTCAAAAGAAGAGTGTATTCAGTAGTTTGAAGGGGTTTTTTTTGTTGTTTTTTTTTTTTTTTTCTGGCAGTTATAAGCCTCGGTTTCTTTTTTTTTCAAGGAAGCGCTGCATGGGTACCTGGCATCGAGCACAAGGATGGAGGTGTCCAGGATGATGACAGTGATGTCATCTGCCAGGAGGTGGTCCAGGGAGCAGGGTACTCAGCACATACCATGCCCGACTAAAGAGCTGCAGTCAGAGAAATAATGTCCAATCCCATATGGCCACTTTCATTCAGTCCCATAAGTCACTGTGCAAGAGAAGGGAACTAATACTCCATTCTGGTCTTATTTGGGGCTTCTGACATGTGTTAGTCATCTAAAGCAAGGGCCCTTACAGAAACACATGGTGCAGGGGTGTGTGTGTGTGTGGTATTTGGAGCTAGTGCTAATGTATGTATGATATAAGTGAATGTAAATGTCCCCTTCTTTCCACTCCCAAAGTACATTCCAAGCATCAAGTGTAGTGTAAGCACCAGCCTTCTGTGACCCATGGACTTGAGTGTGGGTTTCTAGTGAGTGATTTATCAATCATGTTGAGAAGATATGTTTCATGTGTCCCTTTCACATTGGAAAATATGGTATCGAAAATAAAAAAATTCAGGGACCACTGTTTTTCTTTGAACTACAGAACTCGCCCTGCATTTTTTT